CTCCGGCCAGGCCCAACTCATCCCGCTTCCCCCACAACGTTGGGTGGGACGGGATGTCATGGCGCTGTCGCAACCACGCTTGGCGACACGGTGCGCGGCTCCATCCGCTGGCACTTTTTCATCCCCGTGCATGGGCCCGGCTCCCACTCGTCCTTCATCCTTGGACTCCACGCTCCGCGGTGCGGATCAGCCTCTTCCAGCTGTTTCACACTCGCCCTTTCGAGCACAGCCCTCCATCGGTCGCTCCCAGTTCTCTGGTGCGAGCGACGGCGGTAAGGGCACGAACGCGGTCCTCGGACGTCGTTCACGTGACCTTGAACACGCTTCCGCTGTCGGAACGCACGCAAGAATGGCGCCGCCTTTGCCTCATGAGCAAATGGTTATCGGACACCATTCATTACGGTCACACACTCCATTTTCAGTCCCCTCCTCCTCCCTTCAACGGGATCGTGGAGACGACGTTCACGTCACAGGTACAATCTCAGGCCCTGGAGCTAGAGCTGTGGGAACTTCTGTCCAAGGACGCAATTTCCCAAGTCCCTCGTGGACAAGAGCTCTCAGGCTTCTACTCCCGCTACTCCGTAGTACCGAAGAAGTCGGGAGGAATGAGACCAATTCTCGACCTTTCCCTGTTCAACTGCTCCATAGCAGTGATGCATTTCCGCATGTTAACAATGAGGCAAGTCCTGGAAGACATGCGCTCCAGGGACTGGTTCACGTCAATAGACATTAAAGACGCATACTTCCACATCCCAGTAATTCCCAAGCACCGGAAGTTCCTGCGCTTCTCATTCAAGGGTGTTCAATACCAGTTTGATCGTCTCCCTTTCGGCTACTCGCTAGCCCCACGCACCTTCTCCAAATGTCTGGAGACCGCGCTGCAGCCACTGCACATGGCGGGAATGAGGGTTTTATTTTACCTGGACGATCTGCTCCTATGCGCCCGGTCCAAGGACGAGGCGTCAGAGCAAACCAGGAAGTTAATAGAGCATCTGTCAACCCTGGGGTTTTCCATAAACTGGGAGAAAGCTCCATGCTTCCATCCCAGTCAATTGTGTTTCTCGGGGTGGAGCTGAACGCCTCTCTACTGAGAGCACGTTTGTCTCCGGCGAGAGCAACAGATCTAACCACGGTGATCTCCCGTGTTCAACCCCGCAAGATCGTGAGAGCCCTGTTAGTCATAAAACTTCTGGGCATGATGGCTGCAGCCCACGCTGTGGTGCCACTGGGTTTACTGCACACAAGGCGCCTGCAGCGTTGGTTCATCTGCCTCCGGGTACAGCCGATACGTCCGAAGAGACATATGTTGGGGGTTCCCCCTTCAGTGGGCGGGGACCTTGCTCACTGGGGGAATCCCTGCATCCTATCACACGGGGTCCCCAACGGACGTCCTACGTCACACGTATCTGTGTTTACGGATGTGTCACTATTGGGATGGGGGGGGCACGTGCTTGTCCCATACGGTGGCAGATCGCTGGCCCTCCCACACGCACGAGCACATAAATGTGTTGGAGCTTATGACAGTGAGGAATGTGATCAGACACTTCGCTGCCCTTCTCGAGGGCCGTCATGTCGAAGTTCACACAGACAACCAGGTGGCAGCAGCCTACATAAATCACCAAGGGGGAGTTCGATCCCTCCCACTATTGCGTGTAGCCACAGATTTACTGTGTTGGGCACATGTCCACCTGCTGTCCATCAAAGCCACCTACAATCCGGGGGTCCTGAATGTAGGTAGCAGCAGACATCCTGTCGAGAGGGGGATCTTGCGACTCCGACTGGCGTCTGCATCCCGCACTGATATCACAGATCTGGATGGGGTTCGGGGAACCCTCTGTGGATCTGTTCGCGGCTCGCGAAAACGCACAGTGTCGCCTGTGGTTTTCCCTGAGTCCCCGGGACCATCCCCCGCTCGGAGCGGACGCCTTCTCGCATCAGCCCTGGCCTCAGACGCTCCTGTATGCGTCTCCGTCAGTCCCACTGATTCCCCCTCTCCTGGATCGAGTTCGGTCGGAACAGCTCTCGGTAATTCTGGTAGCTCCCAGACGCTTGTCCGCGTCATGGTTTCCGGACCTGCAAGCGCTAGTGTCCGGCTCTCCGTAGAGGGCGGACGCCCTGCTCCAGGCGGATGGGATAATCAAACATCCTCCGGAAATAGGCCAATGGCTGTGGGTCTGGCCGCTGAGCTGTCACGCTTAGAGGATTCTGGGCTGCCGCATGGTGTGGTCGCCACGATTCAGAGTGCGCGGGCGCCCTCTACCGTCACATCTTATGCTGCTAAATGGGCAGCTTTCCAGAAATGGTGCACAGAGTGAAATGTTCATGTGCTCTCCTGCCAGCTGGTGGATGTCCTTTCGTTTCTGCAGATACTGATGGACAGGGGCCTCGCCTTCAGCACTGTTAAAACATATGCTGTAGCTATCTCATCCTGTCACCAGGGTTTTTGAGATAGATCTGTTTTCAATCATCCCTTCACAAAGCCTGTTTGTGCACTACAGAGATTCTTCCCTTGGGTAAGCGCTATCGACCCAGCGTCTTTCACACTGGCTGTGTGATGCCATTTCACTCGCTTACACATCATCAGGGCAGGATCCTCCTGAGATACTCAGGGCTCACTCAGCCAGAGGGATTTCCTCTTCTATGGCGCTCCACAGTGGTGTGTCGATGGAAGACATTTGTCAGGCTGCTTCATGGGCTTCACCCTGTTCCTTTACTCGTTATTATTTATGAGATGTGTCTTCAGGATCCATAACTCGTTCAGTGCTTGGACCTCAGCAGGCTGAGTGAAAGCATTATGGCACCACATCAGCCCTACTTGAATTAATTTCATCCTCTTGTGGATGATATTTTCAGTGGGGGCTCCACTCTCCTCTCTGGTTGCCTCAGCTTTTTAAGCCCTGGGCTGCGGCTGAGCATCCCTCGCTAAAAGGAGACATGTTGGGTGTGTCCATTGGTTGAGCTAACCAGTGTGGCGTAGACCCATCCAGCTGTGCATTATTCCAATAGCAGCTAGCTTAAGGGCTAAGACTAGACGAAATAGAACGTTGGTTACGTATTGTAACCCCAGATTCTATGAGTCTAGTCGCAGCCCTTAAGCCACTTGGCCACACTGGTTCTGTTAGGACCAAGAGCCATCGGAGGCAAACAGTGGAGTCACTCCACTTATATACCCACAAGGGGTGTCCACCATTGGTGGGCGTACATTTAAGCTCTTCATGATTGGCTGATGCTGAGATCATCCTTCCAATAGCAGCTCGCTTAAGGGCTGCGACTAGACTCGTAGAATCTGGGGTTACAATACGTAACCAACGTTCTGACCTGACAAACCGTTTCATGTGGCAAAAAGAACCACAGGAAACCCATCTGGGCATCTGTTGATTTACAGAACTTTAAAGCCACCTTTGATTCCTCTTTGATTGCATTGTTTAGGTGGCGGTGAAACTGGAGGAGTTCACAATTAAACAATCCACATCCGAACCGGAAGAGCTGCACACGTGGAGAAACAGGAAGACCTGGAAAAACATGATTCTCTTTTGGAATTCCTAGATTATTTCAGTGTTTTTATTGCATGTGTTAATGTTTTACTTATTTAAATGAGCTGTTTTTATAGATAAAATTATGTTTCCTTGCATTCAATGAGAGGTTTAACATTTTCTTTACGACTTTACATTTGGAGGCATCATCTCCAGGTGCACTGAGCTGCAGTGGAACAACACCAAAGAAACACAATTTCCTTTCTGGACATCAAAACACTTCAATAATAAGAGAGAGAGTCGGCGTCTCGTGCAGGAGCTTTATCTTAATGCCTTTTCTATCAAATAATAACAACGAGTACTGGGTCCAGAGGGGAGGACTTCTCAGCATCACGCACGGCAAATCATCTTAAAGAAGCTGCTTCGGCGATGTGAGCGCCAGGCTCAGGCTGTGCAGATCAAAGTGGTGATAGTTCATCAGTTCATACCACAAAATATGTGCTCGATAGCAGCAGGCGGATTTTCAGGATCACAGCATAATAAGATAAATTTATTTTACCCAGTTAGATTTTTTTCCTTTGCCAGGGGATCTAAAGGTCAAAAAGCAATAAAACACACAGAAGTTATAAGACTAAGAAGCCAGGAGTGATTTATTTCTTTGGGTGCGAGACTCAGATAATCCAGGTTTAATCTAATGCTGGGCAGGATAATAAATTGAAGGTGGAGGGGAAAAAAATCTTTCCTTTTTTATGACAATACAATGCTAAAATTGAAAAAAAGATTCCACACCAATCACGTCTCAGAGGACAAATACATTTCAGGGTTAAACTGGAATATTTAGTATTTTTTTACACTTCAGTATATCTTTTCTTTCACATTTGTGCACATCTGGTTTTCTTGGCCTGAATATGTTTGATGGGCAACGATTTTAGGAGTGGATTTATGTTAGCAAACAGTTAACTGTAGCGTGCCTCTACTGGCCAACATCAGCTTTCTCAGTTTCATAAGAAGCACCTGTGTTTGCAGAAGACGGGTAAAAAAAGACGGTGTGAGCGGCATCTGTGCATTCATGTCCAATAAGAGAAGGTGGGCACCATGGTGAGCTGGGATCACGGGAGCAGACGTGTGGGAGACATCACAGGGCAGGCTTGTTTTCTTCACAGGGAGCGGCCTTTTGCTTCTCAGCGGGGTCTGAGCTGTGGGGGTGGGAGGCATGGAAACCCACCACCAGCCACATGTACACTCTGTGCTACTCCTTCCATATGGGAATATTTACATGTCCTCTTTGTTGCTCAGAGATCAAAGCAGCGGAGATTCATTTGGGTTGCTTTTATGACACATTTTAGCACGTTGCAGAGGAAGGACTTTAAACGCCCTGAAAAACCTGGGCAGGATGCAAGGCCACCCAATTAAGTCCAATATCCCACATGAGCAGCCTTACTTCCAGGGTGTTTTTAAAATATAAGCAATCAAATTTATCAGAGAAGTACAAAACAATAAAAATAAAGAAAACTTGAAACAAAATGCCAGTTTTGGTATATTATTGACTTTTATTTTACAAAAAAGGAGGAAAAAAAGAGCTACAAATCTTGACAATCTATACAAACTTTCAAAAATATGTTTTTTATTTAGTAAATGCTGTGATCAAGTTTCTGCAATAGCCCACTGTTTGAGATCCCTGAGCAGAGACACAGAGTGAAACACTTATTTTTTAACATTTCCAACAATAAAACTTGTGTTTCTTCATGAGTTTGTTATTTACATAGGAAATAAACATGTTTTGACTGTGTGTGCGTGTGCATGTGTGTGCGTGTGTGTGTGCGTGTTTGTGTGCGTGTGTGCGCGTGTGTGTGTGCGTGTGTGTGTGTGTGGGAGAGAAAGTAAAGAATCAAAGTGAACTCTGATTATCCTATTCTTTCTGTATCTTCATCATCATCACCATCATCATCATCATCATCATCATCACTGTGAAAAACAGCACAGTGTTGACAGCATTTTGACACAAGTGAAAACTTCCTTTGGGGATGAAGCTCTGTAAACAGGTACAGTACGGTTGGGAACATAACTGTGACTTATCTCAATATTCACCACAAATGTATGTCAAACTTCCGTCTAACCAACTTTCTTCATTTTACATGTAAACACAGTGCCAGCTGGTTCGCTCACTAAATAACAAAAAACAATAATTTACAACAAAACGATTCTAAAACAAAGATAAATGAATTAGACCAAAAAAAGAATCACAATTACTATACAACCTCTGATGAAAGTGCTGTTTCACTTCTAAATGCTGGCAATGAAAACAAGTAGAGGAGAACTACACAAGAATATGTACAAATAAAAAAAAGTGGCAACTCTTCTGGATTTTGGTACTGAAACACTTGGCTCAGTCACTGAGCTTCTATTTCTGGCTGCTTTTTTGCTGCATGATTTTCAGCATACTATACAAAAGTTAGGTTTATATATTAGGATTCATTATTACAAATAAAATGAAATCAATTAATTCCAACAAAAAAACATAAAGACATTTTCCCTTGAATTCAACGACTATAAAGTGTTGAGCATCAGCAACGTTTTTGTGTTTTGGCAGCAAGAACTCATCTGTCTGTAAATCATACTCAATAAAGTCTGTAGGAAAGTGGGAAAGCTGTGCAGCGGAAACCTAAAGTGCCAGGATTCATGTTTTCTTTTCTTGTGAAGGTGACTTAAAGAGACAAAGTGTAGTTTTTACCATAAATTTCTGGAAATATCCATCAAAATATTGTTGAAAATGAATTCAATGATGCCCATTTGTTGAAAAATATTGGCGGCTTCACAACATAAGACAGAATCAGGTCTAAAATTCATGGGAGTGTGTCTAAGGGTGTTTCTCAATAGCAAGGCGCCTTGCGGTCATGTAACGCCACGTGACACGGGAGATAACGTTATATTTTATACGTATTAGTTTCAATGTAAATATATAACAAGCCTTTTACTTTTTAAATTGTGTATATGTTTGTTAAATTAAATGTGTAAGCAAGTTACCACCTGCTAGCCACCGAAGCTGCAACTACTAAGCAACGAACCAACCATAGATAACTGCTTTGGATCTAAATAAACATTTTAAATGAGTTGACTTACTTTTAAACTTGAAATTTGCCCCCAAATTAGCTGCCGGCTTCTGATCCGCCATCCTTTAGAAAATACTGCAGTGTATTCTTGGTAATTTTTGACCAAGGCTAGGCTATGACACCTCCCGTGTATCCTTGTCAGCTAGCTAAACGACTAACAAACAGACGCCTTGGTAGAACATGAACATTGGATCACATCTTGATGGTTCCTGATGACGTATTTCCAAGGCAACCGGGGCAGGGCCAAGACATCAAGGCGAGGTTCCTTGGCATTGAGAAACACCCTCAGTCCTCTGGCTGTCGCCATGTTTTCTTCTACGGGAGCCCGTGAGAACACAATGCACTTAATGATTTGTACAAAACGGTTCCAAAATTTTCATCATTTTCAAATGATGTCTTAAACGTTTACCGCTTCACTTTTTGCCAGTGATGAAGGGAAGTCTGATGTGCTCGTTATTTAGCTAAAGTTTGCACTCCCTAGGGCTTTTTGAACCTAATGTGCAACCGTTGGTAAGGTCTTACTCCAACACAAAAATACAGCTTACTTGCAACGATTTAGGTATCTACTGCCCCCATCGCCAGGAAAAATACACACCGTCACTTTAACATTTGCATCAGTAACTTACCATTGTGTTGGACAGACGTTGCCATGGTGACTTCTTAAGAACAGAAACATGATTTCACAAAATGATAGGTCAGATATTTTGAAGGTAGGTTTTATGGAAATGTTATGACACAGTTGTTGAAGGTAGCTTTTTAAATAGACTCAGTTAGGAGAAACAGGGATTTGTTCTGCTAAAACAGATCAGCTAACCATGAATCACAATGCGACCAGTCACAAATGCTTTAGAATAATCCCTTTCTCAAAACCATTTATGCAAATTCTACTTTAAAACTTTTACATTTTATCTTCTGTGCTTTTTCAGCTGGCCAGATGTATGTTGCAAATAGCCATGTGAAAACTGTAGGGTGCAGAAGTTTATGAAACACCATTCACATGAACTGTTATAATAAATCTGAGATGTTATGACTGCAGAAACACTTCGTAACTGACCCTGCTGACCAGCTAGCTCAGCTGTTCCTGGGCAGAACTAATCTCTGCTCATCTAAAAGCTGATTTAGCTCAAGAGGCCATTTAAAACATACACGTTTGACGAAACACACTTAAAAGTATCAGTGCTATCGCTTTAAAGTCATGAAACTGTTTATTTCCTGTTTTTATCTAATAAAACATGATGTTTGTCACTAAACCCAGAGTTAGGCCATGCTAATATTAACTGCCAAAGTGTGTGTACTTTACCTTCTCGGTGGCCTAATGGTAAAGTGTCCGCCCTGGGACTGGGAGATCGGGGTAAACAAAACCTCTTTGGTACCTTCTTGCTGTGTCTGATTCCATTTTTGGTTCTTTTTAAAACACAGAAAAGGTTTCTTTTAACCTTGCTTGCTGACAGTTTCGTTCACGGCTGCAAACTTCCTCAGAGCTGACGCTGAATAAACGGAGAAGGAAGTGACGCCACCATCAGCGTCAGCTATGAGGATGTTTGCAGCCATGAACGAAACTGCCAGCAAGGTAAAAAGAAACTGTTACTGTGTTTAAAAAAGAACCAAAAATGGTAAACAAAACCTGGTCGGGTCAGACCAAAGACTTTAAATATGAGACCCAAAGCCTCCCTGCTTGACACTCAGCTTTAAGAGGTTGGATTGAGGGGTTAAACTACCAAATAGTTCTCAAGTGCAGCCAAAGCTGCAGCTCACCGCTCCCCAGATGAATTTCAGTAGGGGCAGGGAGGCCCAGACTTCCCTCTCCCCAGCCAATGGGCCAGCTCCTCCGGGGGAATCCCAAGGCGTTCCCTGGCCAGGTGTCCTGGGTCTTCATCTAGGAATTCTAACCTTTTCCAACTCAAGACCACGGTCTCGGATTTAGAGGAGTTGATTCTCATCCCAGCTGCGTCACACACTATAAACTCCCTTTTTGAAGTTCTAACTAATTATATGGACATAATTTTGTTGCAAATGCACTCACTTAGGATAAGAAACAATATAAATACTGATGCAATTTCATTGTTTTGCATTTAGGATGAACTAAAATCTCCTTTTATTCAGGGTATTTTCCTTTAATCATCACTAATGAGCAATGTCTGGTCAAAGACAGATCAGCTAAGAATAAATAAGCTTTTGTGCTTGCACTTGATATTCTCTTCACTCTTCAATTTAATCTCAAACTGCAGGAGGGTTGTACCTGTGGCCTTACTTCAAGTTCAAGTGTTTTAGAAGAAAAAAAAACCCTTTGAGAGCAGTAAATCTGCAGGAAAAAATAAACTTCTTCAGAGTCTAAATACCACACTGTGCCTGACTAAAGTAATATTGTGGAAAGATGCTGGCCGGAGGTGTTTGCAGAGCTCAGCAGCGATTAGTAGAGCCTGTGCAGCACAGTCCTAAAGTCTCTGCAGAAATCCTCCCGCAGTCTCTTCTATCTCTCTTGGAGGAGTAAAAGGAATGAGGAGCACGCTGGCTGTCTTTTCCCTGGGTCTGGGGTGCAGATGGCGAACGGGCAGGCAAGAAGAACTCAAAGGCTCAAGGTCCTCAGTCCCTGTTTCTCCATGATGTTCCACAGCTTACGCAGATTTGACTGGGTGATGGTATCATCTGGCTTTAGCTGAAGTGCCCGGAGGTAATTGGCTTCAGCTTTCTGCAGTTTCCCGTTGAGGTGGAGAATCGCTCCGAGGTTCATCAAGGCTGCAGGGTACTGAACCAAAGCAGAAAAAAAGAGTTCTTTTAGGACAAGATCAGTTTGACATTCAGATCTACAGCTGGGGTCTAAATTCAGATTCACTGTTCTGCTCAAAAATGAGCAAAACAAGAAGAAGGTGCCCAGGCATTTACATGACAATAGTCATTTACAGACCAAAACTCATTTGTTTAGGCTGGAGACATAATTTAATTCAATATTCTAATTGCACCACATCGGGGGCTGATGCATGTCATCTATTTACGTGGCATTACTTGACAGGAAACCCAATTTTAATTCTAACCCAGTCGTCATCGTCTTCCTCCGCTTATCCGGGTCCGGGTCGCGGGGGCTGCATCCCAACTAGGGAGCTCCAGACCGTCCTCTCCCCGGCCACCTCCACCAGCTCCTCCGGCAGGACCCCAAGGCGTTCCCGGACCAGATTGGAGATGTAACCTCTCCAACGTGTCCTGGGTCGACCCGGGGGCCTCCTGCCGGCAGGACATGCCTGAAACACCTCCCCGGGGAGGCGTCCAGGAGGCATCCTGACCAGATGCCCAAACCACCTCAACTGGCTCCTTTCGATCCGGAGGAGCAGCGGTTCTACTCCGAGTCCCTCCCGAATGTCCGAGCTCCTCACCCTATCTCTAAGGCTGAGCCCGGCCACCCTACGGAGGAAACTCATTTCGGCCGCTTGTATCCGCGATCTCGTTCTTTCGGTCATTACCCAAAGCTCATGACCATAGGTGAGGATTGGGACGTAGATCGACCGGTAAATCGAGAGCCTGGCTTTCTGGCTCAGCTCCCTCTTCCCCACGACAGATCGGCTCAGCGTCCGCATCACTGCAGACGCCGAACCAATCCACCTGTCGATCTCCCGATCCCTCCTACCCTCACTCGTGAACAAGACCCCGAGATACTTAAACTCCTCCACTTGAGGTAGGACCTCTCCCCCGACCCGGAGTTGGCAAGCCACCCTTTCTCGGTCGAGAACCGTGGTCTCAGATTTGGAGGTGCTGATCCTCATCCCAGCCGCTCCACACTCGGCCACGAACCTACCCAGCAAGAGCTGAAGGTCAGAGCTGGATGAAGCTAGGAGGACCACATCATCCTCAAAAAGCAGAGACGAAATTCTCCTGCCACCAAACTCGACACACTCCACACCACGGCTGCGTCTAGAAATTCTGTCCATAAAGGTAACGAACAGAACCGGTGACAAAGGGCAGCCCTGGCGGAGTCCAACCCTCACCGGGAACGGGTCCGACTTTCTACCGGCTATGCGGACCAAACTCACGCTCCTCTGGTAAAGGGACTGAATGATGAGGACTTAAGTCAAAGCATCTGTTCGAGACAAAATGACAAAAACGTCACAGCTGATGACTAAAAACGGTTGTGTAGTAAATGTTTTACATTGTGGGGGAAAACTGAGTCACCACAAGACCCTAAGATGGATCGTCTGAGCTGGATCACTTTGTTTGGTGTTTGGTAACCAAGCTGCTCTGATGTCCCTGTGTCTGCTCTGTGGCCATCCACGTCAGAGGGAGCAACCACCACCTTCATGTGGGCTGAGATGTTTATTGCTGCTGGTGCCAACGGGTAAAAATGATAATCAGCAAGACGAGTGAGTCATGGGGATGTAAGTAACAGGAGTGACTGGGGTGCAATCACGTCCATGAAGTATGCAGGCCAAGGGAGGGGCAACATCTGATCACCATTTTAGTTTGAAATGTGGCAAAGAAGCGGTCTTATGTGCAGAGAAGTTTATGGGGTTGTTTGTGATTCGTAGGCACAAACAAGCAAAACCTATGAAGCAGATTCAGTAAAACTGGCAATTTTTCTTTCTTTTGGCAATAACTTTTTGGTGTGATAATAGCTTCAAATTAATCTTAATTTAAAATGTATTAAAGGTTGCATCCTAATCCAGGGGCTGCATCCTTTGCATTTTAAGGCAGATTATGTCACAGGGAAGTGACAAGGCTGTCTGAATTTCCCCCAAAATTTGAAGACAGTTCAGGCAAAGGTTATCCCAGGAATTCCTGCAAGCCGAACAGGAGATTGTTTTTCTTGTAACGATAGCGGACGAAGCGAGAGATGATTTCAGTTTTAAATGTTCGCATATTCATACCTATAGGTAAAAAAATAAAAGTGTTAGTATTGTTAGGCTTTTAAGTTTGCATATGAAAAATAAAAGTCATAAATATAAAACGAGCTAGTTTGACTGGTCCCATGTTTCTTTTCAGCTGAGTTTAGTTTTAACGTGTCTTTAGCGCTGCCGTGGTTGCTAGGCGACAAGACATTTGCCCAAAAGATTTACAATAATGCAGAACTGATCATCTCCCATGTTCAATTGCATTCCCTAAATCTACCCTGAAGGCTAAACACTTCCCTGCTTTTCTTCTGTACTTCTGCGTGCATCCATAACTTCTTTTGATTTATCTTCTTGCACTTTTTCCTGGCTCACGTAACGCTCCCTAGAACGTTGTCTTGTCAACGGCGTTTGTTTATTTAACGTTCTTTCTTCATTTCTGCACACACATTTGCCGTTTTGGCTGCCGACTGTTGCCAAAGAGAACGGCTAGGCTGTAAAGCAACTTTAACTGTGTGGACTGATTGCTCGATGGGAAGCAAAGTTGAGGAGTAACTTGACCTTAATAACTTGAGAAAGAATTTATGCACAGAAAATTCCTCAGATCTGGAAACTTTGAATGGACAAATGCTGTAGGTTGCAGAGAACAACCAACTCCAACAAGAATCAAGTAGGATTTGGCTTGTGATGCAAGAGCGAACTGAAGGACTAAAGGACTAAATCCCTTGAATGGAGGGAATGGTCTTCTCTCAGTCAGGCAGAACCAACATACGGGCTTGATATAAAACAGCAGAGCTTTGGGAGTGTTGAGAGTGGAACTGCAGTAAAGCATGAATTTGTGATTAAAGATGGGTTAAAGCAAAGTCTCTTTGGACAGACGTGAGTTTAATACTGAGGGAGGTGAGTGAAGATGTTAAACGATAGACGTAATTTAGCAAAATGAAGAAAAAGACTAGGAGGCAATCAGGTTTCAGCATGGCTGGCAAACTGTGAGCATAGCACCTGATAAGACATGATGCCAAGGAACCTTGCCTTGATGTCTTGGTCCCCTCCTAGTTGTCTAGAAGGTAAGTCATCAGGAACCACCAAGGGATGTTCCAATGTTCATGTTCTACCAAGGCATCTGTTCTCCATTTGTTAGCCGTTTAGCTAGCTGAGCAACGATACACGAGAGGTGCCTTGTAGCCGGCCCTTGGTCAACACATCGCCTTGCAAGGCCAGGCGTCTTGACAATTAGAGACACCCACAGCTTTATGGAAATTACACCGGCATAACTCAGAATTTATGCATTTTCGAAAATGAAAAAGGAAATCTTGAGTGACATCTCTAAAATGTTGTGTCCAATTTTATTGGATACAAGTTTCATCTCTGAGTCATGCACTGAATGTAGTTTTATAACAAAAGCTACGAGTTTTGAATTTGGTGATCAGGTTATTTGTTCTAAGAACAATTCAGGCAGATCTTAAAATAAGCTCCAATAGCAAGAACATAATGTGTTTGGTATTTTATTTCCTTTGCTATTACAGGAGTAACAATTCTTTTAAATATTCTTTTTCGGAGCACCAGACATATTTCTACTTCACATCAGTTTGCTCCCTGAGCCAAGAAAACCAGTATCTTATCCACAAGGTGTTTCTGTGTTTTCCCCAGTTTTTGACTTTAAAAGTTTGAGTTATTTTTGAACATGCATGGACTGTCCCGACTCACAGTGGGGTTTCAGCCCATGAAGTCAGCTCCAGCCGAGAAGCTTGGTTCTTTGTCTAATGCAGCACAGCCCAAAGGCCTGATGATCAAAGTTATTCAGGACATTTCTTTCACTTCATCTGCAGCATATGAAGATTTCACTTTATTTCTTAATGACATCATTTTAGACAGGAGGTACATTTTTGCAGGTTCACCTTGATAAACATTGTTCTTGACTTGGACTAGCTGCCACTTCAGTATTACCCCGGTTTCACAATGAGAGAGTCTTGGCAACGGCACGGCTTCCTCGCTGTGCTCTTCGCTGGACTCGCAATATCACACGATTCCTCAAGACTTCAGGTCACGGTTTGTTAATGCAATCCGTCAATCAACCAAAAAGAAGGAAATCACGGCTTATGTCACTGTTTGATGTCATATATGGTGTTGTTCCTCTCCACTGCCGGAATAAAGCCATGAAAAAAACACAGCTGCTGTCCTGGAACGATACTGTGATTACAGAAGCTGTTGGGTCACACGTAAGCTTCATATATATGAAATTGCATCACTGCAGTACTTTTGTTTAGAAAATTACTGGGGATTTTATGTTGAAACAGTGTGTGGTTTCCTGTCCACCCCTATGTTACTGTAGAAATTGACGTGTCCCGGAAGGGGCTCGTGGCAAAAATAGAACCCGATCCTATCTTTAGCGGCGCGGCGTGCCGCTTCTGGGACTCACCTGGAAATTGCCGCGTCGTTGCTGGTTTGAAACAGCCCATAGATTGTAACGGATTCTATTTGAGCAGTGACGTTCCGCTGCCGTTCCATGCCGCTGATTCTTTCAGTGTGAAACCGGCTTACTTTAGCATGACGCTTTAACATTTTACTGAGTTTATTAACACACATCTGAATCTAATGCATAGCTTCTCAAAGTCATGTACTGACAGTTTAAAAACTCTTAGCATGCAATTCTTTCTTTTCATCATTTGATTTCCCAAATAACAGTGAAATACAATTTAAAAGCTATTGCATTCATCAATGAACACAGAAAAAGCCAAAATCGAGTCAATATTACAAATATGTAGCTCTTCTTATTGTGATATACCTTTGTCTAAGCTATCGTTAGCTGTTGTGAGTCAACCCTGCCTTGTCCTTTAACAAAATAAACCACTGAGTGGATTAAAATAAAAGTCTTTGACAGTAATAAATGGATTTATACCTACAGCTGGTTAACTTTTACTCAGAACTACGGTCAGTTAACCTTAGCAGACAGAATGATGACTCAAAAGAGTTTACGGGTGTGGAGCTATAATTCGATGTGCCAGGAGATCCATGAAATCGTGCAGAACATTACGTTCAAGATTTGATAAAAAGCCATTGACTCCATTATTTCTCAACATTATCCTAATTTTAAAAACTAGCATAAAAGGAAGCAGGCAATATGCATTCCTCCATGAAATGGAAGATTATAAGATGCAAGAGTTTGACATTTAGAACAACAAATGGATTCAAAGATCAACTTCATGGCTTCTGTGGGGACGTGAAGCCCCAAGAATTTGTTAATTTCTTTTTTCTGTTGTCCTTGTTTGTAAATGTTATACTAAGACTGGTGTGCGGGCAAAACCAAACGATTTTTGTATAACATTGTGAAGACATTCAGTCACTAATCAAAGGTGGTTGTTTTGGTGATCTGAACACAGGAACAAACAGGGGAACCACATGTTAAACACACTTCCACCCTCTGTGGCCCTCACTTACATAACTCAACTCATCCCATTGACGCTCTGAAAGACAGAACCCCATTCATTTCCAAAATGTCATAAGCTCCTGACTGAGTGTTATTGTCATTATTCTTTCCAATCTGCTTACGCTAGACTTTCCTTTGAAGTTGCTGATGGATGCTGCACAAGTAAACTTCTGAGTTGAGTAAAAAAACGACCCCTCATTACTCTAAGCTCCACAGACAATGAATCCCATTGTAAGGAGGCCAGTCATGATATTGGAAAAGCCCCCAGTCTGTGATTGCACACTGTCCATCAAAGTAAATAGTAATGAGGAAGAATAGCGAGTCCGTTTTACTCACGTCGGGTCTCAGACTCGCTGCTTGTCCGTAATACTTCTCGGCCGCCTCATTAAGGTTGGCTTGTCTGAAAACGGAAAACAGAAAGAGGCGATCATTACTCATTTTTATTACCCTGGGCTTCAGATGAGGCCTTGAACCCAGTGTGTTTACTGGTTCCCAGGGGTCAGTGGGAAAATAAGTTGGGGAAACAGCGTGAAGGATGGGAAAAGCTGATCCAGTGGTCTGCAGGTTTCTTGCTCGATAGCATCTTTCACTTGATAACATCTGTGCTGAGCAGTGCACAACAAACACTTTCTGCTCTAATTGAACCCTGAGGTCGGGACAATCTGCTCACCGGGGGCTTGAGAGAAATGAAGAAGTCAGTGTAGAGGAGCAATAATCATTGTGTTTTACTTTCAGTCACTGAAGACAGACAGATGGTATCTGTGACTTTAGTCATGGTAAACAGCTGAAAAAGGTACTTTTCAGCTGTAGGAGGAAGGCACAAATGCTGTATATTAGGGTTATTATCTTCATTTATAAAGCTGCCGGAGTCACACAATCAGAGCTCTTCACCAAACATTTCCTGTTGGAGTAATAATATTTAGGGTATCTCAGAAACTGCCTTTATGGTCCACAGCTGCAGACATTTTAGTGATGGTAACAACTGGCTAATTGTAAATAATTTAACGTCAAGGACAGAATTGTCAATGACAGCATAAGTAGCCCCTCAAATAACTTAGATCAAAGGCTATGAAGCTGATGGAACCACGGCTCCATTTGGATGTCAAAGTCAATTACAACTCAAGTGACCCAAAATCCAGTGAATTTGTGTCTCCAGACATCAGTTCTTTAAGAACTGAGTTTCTATATATTTTTGACTAGTTTTTGACAGGGTGAGGAAAACAAGAAACTTATAGAATTGACTTAATTTTTCATAATGTTTTAGATCTGTTGCATCAAAGTTTCTCAAACATGAAGGAGGTTAGAAAGCAGCACTGCTTTTGCTTCTTTCTGCATGTGAGATCAATTTAAGGGCACGTTTACTCTGCATGGTTAAACTGCAAATGCATCAAATAGGGAGCTTTCAATCTTTTGTAGGTTCTTGCTGTGTTTGTCTTCTAATTCCATGTTTGGTTCTTTTTTAAACACAGATACGGTTTTTCTAAACCTTGCTGACGTTTTGTTTGCGGCTGCAAACATCCTCAGAGCTGACGCTGATGGTGGCGTCACTTCCTACTCCATTTATCTGCGGGCAGCAGAGAACGACAACGTCCTCTGCTCCCCTCTCCGATGATGCAGTCCCATGCACGATCCAATGTGTAAACCCCATCGTCTCTGTTCATGGTCCCACATCCACATCTCCTTATCTCTATAGCTTCCTTCATCCATCTTTTGTATTTCTGATGTTTGTTGTTTATGATCAAGAAGCAGAAAGCACAATAAAGAAGTCAGCCGTAACAGATCACTGCACAAGAGAAAACCATGTAATGGACTGGGACAACACAAGGATCATAAACACCGAACAACAGAAATACATATGCGGAGTGCTCGCCGGCCGCACCAGTGAGGTGCGTCACCGGAGGACAGAACAAGTGATGCGCTCCGCTCCGCAGCAGCGAAAAGCATCAGACACAAATAAAAGACAGAAAACATAAAAGGAAATGAGCCGACATGAACGATTGCGTGTTAAATATGTTTTTGAGGTGGCGACACCTGATGTGATAATGTTACTGTGGCCGTGCTCAGGACGCATGTCCGGAGCACGTCAACAATCAGAGCTTTGCATGCGCAAGCTGGTTAAGGTTAGGATGAGGGTGAGGGGAAGGTTGAAACGTCACAATTCGGTCAAATATCCGTTTTACGGCGGGCGTTAGATACCGACGCTCTGGCACAGCGCGTCGCCTCCCGAAGTGCAGGGTCTCATCACCTGCTGTCTTTTCCGAGGACTGCATCTTGTCGGTCATTATCACGTGACAGCGACTAGTCGATGACAGGCATAAAAAGTCACTACAGAGCAGTGAAGTCGGTTAGTCGACTAGTTGATACAACCCCTACCCCAGAGCACATTGACCACAGGGAGACTGTAACCAGTGTAACCGGATCACCGTAGTTACCGGAAGTAATTCTGGTCAGACGTGCAGTGCTGCCGAGCCAGGTGTTTCATTATGAGGCAGCTATAATTGGGGCGGGTTGGATCTAGCTGCAGAAAGCCGAATGCCTCTTCTTGTGTGCAGACGTGGGTGCAGCTAAGGCAGTGGTGAGTGACCTGGCCTTGCATTATTTTAGTTACATAAAGGTTGTATTTTTAATTTAATGTTTCCTTTTTGTGAAGCGTGAGCAGGACTGAAGGTTGAACAAACAAGGAATGTACTTTGGCGAACTGAATGCCGATGAGGTACTGGTTTAGAGTATTTATAGCATTTTGGTGTCTTTTTAGCGTAGGATTAACAATGTGTGTTTGTTCACAGATCTTAGCTGCTACTGTTTTCCAATTCCTTTATTACTATTTGTTCATTCTTTTTTTTTTTACTGGTCATCTTCGGGGGGAGAGGGGAAGGAAAACTATCCCATGAAGCTAGTAGTTAGCTTGATGACATTGCTGTCTCAGGGAGGTAGTTAACTGAATTTAGAGTATCCGCTGTAGGGGTTTGTCAAGGGTTTTACTCACTTCTGGGGGCATGTGTATGAGCTTTAGTTAAAGGGAGCGCTGGGTGTTTTCCTTTATATTATTGTCTTTTGTGTTGGTTCCCTACAGCGGCTTGTGTTTTTAAATAGTAGTTGGCTGGCGTTGTGTGTGTGTGTAGTCCCAGGGCCAGCAGTGTCGTAGCTCCTCCCTCCTCTCTCTCTTTAGAGTTTTAGACCACTCCTTTTATCCCTATCTGTTTGTAGTCAATCTTATCTGTGGTCTTTGATGTGTCTTGTTAATAAAATTATTGTTAACTTGTGAACAACGGTCTCTTAAGTGTTACTACCTATGGTCTAGGATCGAAGCATCCAATCCTCTGGGTCACACAAGAAAAGCCCCAGCCCCTCTCATGAGGCGCAGAGGATTGCCCCGGGGGGCCACAACCAGCAACTGGCAGAGTCCCGGGAGATAATCAGCGGCAAGCCCACAGGTCCACCCACAGCCGCCCACCCCTAAGCAGACCAAGCCCGAAACCCAGCGACCCAGAACCCAGTGACCCGGGACCCAGGGGCGCCCAGCCCCACCGGGGACCCAACAGAGCCCAGGGACTCAGATCCCACCAGGCAGTCACCGGGATTGATCAGGCAGACACCAAAAATCTTGAACCCCCTGACCCGGGAGCCGCGAACACTCAGGCAGATCAAGGCACCACACCCCACACCAAATGTGGCAGGGGAGGGGAGGCAAAGATGTGTAACAGCACAAGAAGTCCGAGGAGAGGGGAGGAGTCAAAGGCCCCACCTGCTATATACAGTCATATACAGACTAGGGTTGTCACAGTAACCGGTGTAGCGATAAACCCTGGTTTCTTCTCCTGGCACTCACAGAGCACAGTCGCTTCTGCTTTGCTCCCTCATCTTTTTTTTCCCCAAGGCTCTTTTTGTCCCGTCTGCCTACAGAGCGCTTCTCTGCATTTCCTCTGGAAATCCCTATTTTTCAGAAATGGATTTAATTAATTGGTCATTCAACGCGATTGATAAGATTTTTTCTACGATGAGAACAGAGGAGGGGGCTCCCACTTGCCCTCATGGGACATGCAGCGGGATATACGCTCGATTCCTGGAAGAAGTGGAATGTCATCTGTCTCTCTCAGCTGTCCATTGAGGACGTCGAAGATGTGTGGATATTTGGCCTGATGATCACTGGATTTCTTCTGACTGGAGTGGGAGGATATCTGTTTTTCCGAAAAATTGGGAAGACGGGAGCGATTGGAGGGCGACCCGCACCCATGGACGGCACCATCCAGGCGGAGACCTCACAGACTGGGACGTTACTCGAGGTGAATCGCAAGCTGGACAATGTCTTAGCTGTGTTACCGGTGTTAGTGCGCAAAATGGATGTAATCTCGGAGAGGGTCACCGGACGGTGTGGAGATGTTTAATAACCCGAATTGGCTTCACCGAAGGACTTGAATGACCAGTTACAGACTGAAGGCAGAGGGGAAATTATCTCTGCCTGACCCAAACAAAGTCTCGTTATCCTAATCTGACGCCAATGCAGCCTTGAAGCTGCAATCAACGAACCCATGAAGGAAGGAATGCAGACAGATGCTGTGGAAACCCGTCCTACCCCCCCCCCCCCCCCCCCCTTCAGATTGTGGACTTCACAGCGAGGCCATCAACCTGCAGGAATGTGCTCTATGCTCCTCCCAAGATCTCTCTCCCTCCTGTGGACACAGCTGGCTGAGCGCCGCACATGGCTGCTGGCCCTGGATAAACAGGATCCCCGCCCCCCCCCTCCCCCTCCCTAACGGAGTCTCATGTTGTGAATGTTGAAGTTCGTGCTTATACAGTATGTTTCAGGTGGGGGTTTTTTTGCATAGTACAGCTACGCCCTGTTGGGAGTAACTCTGGTATGCCTTTTTTCCCCTCCCCCAACCTATCCTCATGTAATTCCTTTTCGTCTATTAAGGTAGCGCGACTCGTGTTGCAAATGACCGCAGTCACCAATTCTTGTCATGTGTCTTGCCCATGTATGTCTAATCTCTGAATTGTGTGTACTGAAACTCAATTTTGTTTCTCTGTATGCCTTGCACATGTGGTAGAAATGACAATAAATGACTTTGACTTTAAAAAGTTGACAATAATAACAACCGTGTTGTTTTTAAAAAAAATTATCTCGGTGGGTTACCGTGGCTGCGGTGTAGGCGTGGTGACCCTTACCAGCCACCGTATCATCTGCTGAAGTTGCCGGCGGCACATGCGCACTTTGTTGTTTACAACCAAAACTTTCTTGAAGCTAAAGCTGAAATAATGGCTAAAGGAGGAGACGGCAGCGCTCAGGAGGACATTTATTATCCCTCAAAGAAGACAAAGTGGGAAGTACGGGCATCTTTTGGATATGTGAAGAATGCCGAGGGACAGCTGATAGAAGACGGCTATCCTGTTTGCAGCACGAGCAGAAAAAGTGTGTGTGAAAGGCAGCAACGCTTCAGATCTCATGACACATCTGCGTGACCATCACCCACAACTCTACAGTCAACGCAAGGCAAGCTAACGTTAGCGTTTTAGCTAAAATGCGTGATCCGAGGATTTGGGTTGAGGGAGAATGCAACAAGTCGCTATATAAAGCAGCCGCAGCGCCGCTACCTGCATATAAATCGTGTCGCGAACACCGCCATGTTGAAATGACGCTATGCATTACGGGGCTCCCAGGGGCAGATAAGAGTTGGTCTCTCTCCGAGAATAATTATGAATTTAACAACGATTACTGCCTGATGACATTTTCCCACATCTGCAAAGCTCACTGGAAGGACACAAACCGAGGACAATATTTTCCTGATATAGGGTTTATTACTCAAGTAAGGGTAAAAAAGTATCTGATTAGAAGGCTACTTGAGTACTGAGTATCATCTGGTCTAATACTTTTAAAATGACATCAAACAGGCAAAAAATAAGAAGTTATGGGCAAATATTGGTATTTTAAAGACTAAAGGGGAAAAATGTAAACAAATAAACAACATAATTACAAAATAACACATTTTAGGCTAAATTTAGACACAAACTAAGGGCAATATTTCCTGATATACAGGGTTTATTTAGTTGTCTGAAAATGTAGCACGTTTAAAAAAAAGCTGCGATAATACCGAAAACTGAGATAATTTTGGTCACAATAACCGTGAGGTTAAATTTTCACCCCGTGACAACCCTAATACAGACACAGTCACACACTCCCTCATGCTCCAGCTCACACATACACATACAACCTAAGACTTACAAAAATAAACACTAGACACCCACTCATGCTCCCCATAAACACCCTATTCACTCTGGTCCCGGTACTGCTGCACAAAGGGTACAATCATCACCGGTTCCCAGAGTTAGCTCCTTTCTGCTGGGGTGCTTACGAGCAGGCTCCCCCGCCCAATGCTGAGCAAAGCAACCCACCACCCCAGACCCCAACCAGATGGCCAGCTCCCCCTCCCAGCCTCCAGCCCCGGGAAGCCAAGCAACAACAGAGGTGTGCTAAGACCCCAAGTCTCCCTTCGCCTGCTCCAATACAGTGTTAGTGCATGTTGATGAGGTGTTACAGTAATCTAGATGGGAAGAGACAAAGGCATGGATGACCATTTCAAGTTCATGTGTCTTTACCAACCTTTGCGGTTTGGAGATATTTCTTAAGTGATAACTGCTTTGGACCAGCGTTTTTGAGTGGCCTTCAAGAGACATAGGTCAAAAACAGCACACAAATTCCTCACGTCTGACTAGACGGCAGAAGATAAATGACCAAGTTGTTGACAGGCATTCAGTCTTTTCAGATTTAACGGAAGGAAATTACCTTCTAGCCAGCTGGTAATAACTGACAGACTTTTTTGAATTTAGAACATTTTTATAAAATTGTCATCCAAACCTTCTTTGAAAACTTGCCCAGTACTGTTGCCTGCATCTAACCCCCACCTGGACCTGGATCTCTTCCCAATTTATTGTGTGAGAAACAAAAAGTGTGTGTGCAAAGTAACATTTGAAAATCTTCTTCCATTTGGATTTTTTCAACCAGTTGTAAAGAGTCACAGTCCACTAAGATACTGGTTTAAGCCACAGAAGAGCCGTGTGGACCTTACAACAGTCCAACCAAGAAAACACTGACAATCTAAAATGGCATTAATACTTGTGTTAAAACTTGCTTAACTGTGACGTAGACATTATGACTTCACTGAATTTTTTAATTAAAGGAAGGACACGCTTTCCCCTGCATTTCAACATTCGTGCTATAAACATGCACAGATTTATCTGAAAGCCAAACAGTCAAAACTCAAAAGCTCAAATTGTGTGCACACATTTTCAAGCTTCTGATTTCTCCCTGTAATCCCTTTCCTTCTCCTGTGTGGATTCACTTGTGTTTGCATCAACCAGAGGCCTTTCCACATCAGTGTCCAAGACAAATACATAAAGAGCAAGGGCTGCAGAGAAGTGAGACCCATGCCAAACAGTTAGAGATGAGCTGCCAGGGGTCTGAACCCTGGAGGAAGCTCTCTGCACTGGATAGTGTTACCCCTTCTTTCCACTGGCTCGTAACTGCAGCAGCACGTCATAGCTGCTGATAGGAGCCGCTGTGGTCAACAGAACCTTTTCCACCGGAGCCGTCAGCAGCGCGAGTCGGCCGCGTCTCAGGAGCAGCATGTCGCGGCCCTTACGCGCCGGTTCTATTTTCTACGCACGATACCGCTGAAACGGGTCAAGTTCCACATTTTTGGGGAAGGAAAGACAGGAAATCGGACGCAGAAACGGAGCAAAGCTCCCGAGATTTTCAGAAAAAAGAAACGTACTTCCGTCCGGTTGCTTTACTTTAAAAAAGGTTACTAACTGTGCGTCCCCGTGAGAAGTTATCACCTAGCTAGCGGTCTCCTTTGTTTTTCAGGTCCGTATTGGCGATTATAAAACGGACAGAACATAAAACACAAACCATGTTATAGTTTTCTCCTGCTTGTTGTTGTGTTTACTGACGAAGTCACTCGTGTGACTTCGTGCTCGGTCGGTGACAGCTGCTCCCCTGCTGCTTCGCGTCTCGTGGGAAGGGCCGAGCAGCAGCTTACGCGAGCAAGACGTGCTGCTGCAGTAACGTGCCGCTGACGGCTCCGGTGGAAAGAAGGGGTTAGTGGTATGGATGCTGCATCATCAGAATGTAGATGAGATTAAACGAGGATCTCTATGATGGATGAACGAATATTTAATCAGTGAGGACTGTAAGCTGCCACATTGCTTTACAGTGTTTACACGTTTCTACTCTCGGCTAAATGAGCACAACAGCTTGAGGCTTTTTTTTGAGGCTCATTAACTAAACTTTACACTGACTTGAAAGTGTACTTTCTAGATTATTGAGTCTGGGATATTAGATGTTTGAGAGATGGCTCAGGAACATATACTGCTGCAAAAGGCTCTAAAGTTGGTGGACCTTCCACCGTTAGGAGAGAGGGATTACAAAGCACAGCCAAGTAAATCACTCAGGCTGAGGAATGGCGTAAGCCCATGGATAAACCGTGCAGACAGCAGACTGCACTCTCTCCTTTCTACCCAGCCAAGCAAAACTAGCCCATCCATTTTATCTCCACAACATGATTCACAGCACCTCTGCATTGGACTGCGAAGATCAAAAGAAAGGCAGAAAAAACCTCTAATCAAACACGTACCTGAGCATGTGGGCTGCGCTGAAGACCACATCAAACTCCCCACTGTCAAGGCGTGCGGCTTTCTTTGCCATCTCTGCTGCTTCCAGCAGCCGCGACTCTTCCAGTAAAAACTGACCTATCGGGGCAGGAGAAAACAGCATCGCTATTACAACACTAAAGGATCTCCACAAAGGCTCAGAGGGACGCACCGTCTAATAATGTTGACTTTGGCACAAGTACATGGACACCCTAGTCTACCCTTGTAACAGTATGCTGAAACACTGGATATGAGTGCAACAAACCACCCCTCTGTGACCGTTTCCCACAACCATTTGTTCAGATTAGGGCTGACCGTGATAGATGTCTTTCTCTTGAAGAAAAATGTATTACTCGCAGGACTCATAAGGCATTCAAATGAAGGCACCTGGACTTCTTTGGTTTCTTGAAGACGTTTTGCTTCTCGTCTGAGGTGCTATGGCAATTCTTACTAGAATATAGGAGGGTCAAGCTTATGAACTGTAGCGGCCTATTTTTGCTTAACAAGCTGAAAATACCTGTGAATACCCCTCCTCCCTACCCCCTGAGCAGTCATTAGAGTCATTAGGCTCTATTGTGTGGGAATGGTTGTTTTGATTAGATGCAGGAAGGTGTGACCTGGACTGAAACTGATTGGGAATTAGATTCAGAGCTGTGTTATAGATGCCATCTATCAGGCAGGACTGTGGAAACCTGGACCAGAGTTTACATTGTGGTAGGACCTGGCATAGGGAGGAATTATAACCCTGTTGGTAGCTTCACTGTTGTTAAGTTGTTAAGATGATAAACCATACACTGAATTTAAGCATACTTTACTTGTTACCACTTCAGACAAGCTATTTAAAGTCCTTAAAGCAAAAGAGCCTAAACTAACACTGGCATTAGGCGGCTGCATAAATAGTTTATATATGCTGAACGTACATTTTAAATGTGTAATTTGAGATACAAAATCACCATAAAATAAGTTTAAGAAGTATATAAAACTAATAGTAGCTAAAGTTTAAGTCCCATCCCCATGGGGAGCGGTGAGCTGCAGCTGTGGCTGCGCTCAGGAACTATCTGGTGGTTTAATCCCCCAAGCCAACCCCTTAAAGCTGAGTGTCAAGCAGGGAGGCTTTGGGTCTCATTTTAAAGCCTTCAGTATGAACCTAGTTCTGACTAAAAAGCTAAATGTTTATGAAAAATAATAAAACCATACAGGAGCAAGGTAACACTAATGGGAGTCAACTAAATCCATTACCTACAAAATTATTCTGAGGCGTATATTTATACATTGGTATTAATGAAAGTGGTAGTACTTAAAACTCCTGCTGCAGCTTGCCACTAGGGGGCTTCAGCTTCTGCTTTTTCTAGTTTTAACAGGTTTATTTCTCTTTAACTCACTTGTTTTGAAACACAGTTTCCATGAGTAAAAATCGCTTTACGTGCCATCATCATCATCATCATCATACTGGTGTGCTGAGCAGATAAATACTAATTTCAGCCAGCAGATAATTATGGTAACACATTAATTTACATCCACATATTTCTTTGAGTAAACAGAACTTTAGAGGGACTCAAAGGAAGAGCACCATTAAAGGCTTGATGAAAATAAAAGCTACAGAGATGCTAAAACTGTCGTGTTCTATGTTTTGTTCAAATTTAAGTGAACAACGTCAGGAAATTATCCTCTCATCTCATCTTAATCGAGCACTGACTGAGATGAAAAACAAAGTAAGGAAACATGTCCAAAGGTCACCAAACACTAGCCACGTTGACATGCACCAAATGTCCCCAATACCGTTCAAATCTTGGTTGATCGGAAATCAAAAAAGTATTCAATCAGATTAAATAGGTGTGCATGCACAGAGTTTTGTTTCCCAGAAAAAAGTGTAAACAAACGTCCTGAAACGAAGTGAAAAATGTAAAAACAGAAAAAAACAAATCTTCCTGCTTTCATGATTCATTTAATCAATTTAATGTTTTTATTTTGCTCACAGAAGTCACGCTTTCTTCAGAGAATAACTGCAGATTTATGCTTTGCTGCATTCCAATGTTCACTACCAGGTCTGTTTAACCGATGTCCCCCTGTCGTCTATACGAGCACGTCTCCATCCACCTGCTGCAGAAACAGAAACGGGGATTCGTGCTGCAAACCCCGCAATGAATCTGCATGTTTCCAGTACAGACTAGAACACGTTTGTCGAATGATTTGTGCACTAATCAGATTTTTATTTTACGTCCACAAAATGCAAGTTCTGGATTAGATATTACTGAAATGGGGATGGCTTGCCATCATATTTAAAAGCCGGCGCTCGTTAGGCCATCATTTTTTTAGTAAGGTAGCCTAAATGACGACGGGGAGGCTCGCTAACTGTTGCACACATGCTCAGTGGGCATTATTTTACTCCAACAATCCGAATGGCTGTGTACACGCAGGTCAATCGGGATGATGATGGACAAAACCACCTCTCTCAATCAGATGGAAATTTAGTTCCGACTGGGCCGATTCAAATCAGAATATTCCGATTGACATGTTTGCATGCAGAATTGTTGATCTGATTGGGCGTCCAATCCGATTAAATGTGCGCATGTAAACATGGCTGCTGTAGTCCTAACAACCTACCAAAATGTGCTAATCCCTGTCTTTGTAAAACATCTAAAACACTTTTGCAAATAGGATTCAAACTGCCAAGTCAAATACTAGAGCCGTAAGGAAAAAGTCAGGATATGTTAAAGTGAAAGAAAAATGGAAATCTTACCATAATGCATGTAGCAGTTGCCTTTTGTGGGATCGAGCTGGATGGCCTTCAGGAAGTACCTCTCGGCTTCCGTTTTCTGCCCCTTGGAGAAACAGATTAAAAACATTATCATTATTTCTTCAACCACTTCTCAAAACTGCTTATTAAAAAAAAAGACCCACTCAGCCCAACAGCTAAAGTGCATTTGTGTAACCCTCCTGTCCCTGTTTCACCCACATACCAGTCCTCACAATAAATCTTAATAAACAAACGTGGATAAAGGTGGACCACGAGTGTTATTTTTCCAGGCTCGTGTGTCAGCCGTCACAGTTCTCCGTGTCACGCTTGGCACAGCGGAGCGGCTAGGGCAAAGGCTCTTTCATTACACTTTTATCTGAGCAAATATCACTTCCAGAGCAAACTGCCAATTACCTGTGTGTGTGGCTTGGCCGCTTTGAAACAAGACAGCGATCGGTGTGGGGAAACGGGAAAGTGGTTCAGTGTAGACGAGAAAAACGTTTGTAGGGATTTTTAGACTCTTAAGGATCTAGATCACAGAAATTCGGAGGTTTTATCTGTGTTTAGCGCTGTTCTGGCCTTTAGAGAGATAAAAGGATCAATAGTGTGAGAGTGAGAACAGCACGATGAGTTGGGAAGAAATAATTGACCCCTTGCAGACCTCTACAGCTCTCTCACACCATGTAGATTGTGACATGTAACCAATCGCAACTCAAGCAGACCCGAGCAGTTGGCCAATAGAAGAGGCAGCTGGGTCTGACACGCCTGGGCTCTCAGCTGGGCCACGTACGCCGTCTGATCAACAGTTAGCCATGTGCAATCATCAATAATAGTCGATGCATTATTAATGAAGCCTCACCATGTCTTTGGACACGTCCATGAATAATAAATGGGATCAAACTGATGATGTATACATGTTGAAAGGCTTAAACACAGCATGCTAAAGCACTCGTGACGGCATGATATTAATGATCGTTTATTTAGTCAAGTGACAACATTTTCACTGAGCTGCACTCTTAAAATTCCTAATTTTCTAAAGTAAATCTGGACGGGTGGTTCTCCTTGATGAGGCAGACAATCAGGGCTGTAATAAGCATGTTTGATAAACGTGACGTTGAGCTGATGGTGTCCAAGTAGCAAACACAGATCCCCTTTGAAAAGCACTGCTTTCGTATATTTTTGAACTCTTATTCACAGATGGAAGTGTGGGTACATTTGTGTGCCAGATGCTTAAATGCTAGCAGAGGTTTCCATCAGTCAGGGCTGAGTTTTCACACCCTAGAATGAGTTGCAGCAAAACCTTTTTTTGGTCATCACTTGCCTTCAATCGTTTTAAATGTTTCTTGTAAAATTGGCATCGTGAGATATTATTTTATCTCCTAAAGCACGTGTTTGTAAGACTTTCTCAGAAAGTCTTTATTAGATGGACATCTGCTGTTTAAGGTGCCCACATGCTCAACACATAGCTGGTATGACTCAGGCACTCATCTAGTATGTTGTAAGGCAGAGGAAGTAGGTGTAACTTATCCCCAACCCACAGAAATGATTTAGTAAAGTCTTTGTTTAAAAGTCACTCACTGACTGAGTTTTTTCTGTCTGTCTGAATGTTGACAGAATATCTCATGGACCACAGGGTGGACTTCTCTGAAACTTTGAGAACGTGATCACATGGACGTTCGTTTTTAGAGTCAGTCTAACTAACGAGGGCCAACAGATTTTGGAAACACAAAACAAGGTGAAAACGTTGTCAGTGTTACAGATATTCAGCTATGTTGTGGTTGTAGGCGGGAGTTTAGAAAATAAAGCAATAAATCTTTTCACTAAAAGAGAAATGATGGGCAGCTCTGAAACTGTAACACTTCATGAAGTGGCAGTCTTCCATATCCTCGAAGCACCGTAAGGCTCATAGGGGTTTACCACAGATACGACTAAACTCCACCCACTTGGTATTCCAGTCGGGTCTTTGTTTGCATACTGGATCCTCGTTTTTGACACACACTTGCTGAGCTCATTTGTGTATCCCTCACTACTCCTGACAACATCAGACAGACTGCAGAAGCAAAGGTGCAACCCTGCATTATATTAGTGCATGACAGGACAAGAAGATGGCTGGATTTCATATTGCTAACATCAAAGTGGCCGAGCGCTCAATGGCCGCCCTGCGCCCTGGTGTTGTATCAGCAGATGGGTCGCCACAGAAGGGCAGCAGTGCCGATCTAAACTATTAACTTCTCCTCTCTCCTCTATTTTGTGCTTTTATCCACAAATCGCTGCTGCCTCCTCTGTACATCAGCGAACAGCTCAGCTCCACCATCAACACGTTACCTCTGTCTGACCCTGCTGCTGAGCCTCATCTTGCATCCCTCCTTCTGCCTCTCTCATGGGGATTTAAACCTCAGGACCCTTGACAGCATCTGAAGCATCTTCATCACTTCCAGTTGCTCCACAGGGAGGTTGGTTGTAGGGAATGATCGAGAGCCAGAGGGCAGGTCAACTTCCTGCACTGCTTTTGATCATGCTTAAAAGGTGCTGACACGAGGAAAAGGCGGCAAATGAAAACATGCCTTTACTGTGTCAGATAAAGATAAATACACGTTTTCTGTATGAAATACCTCTCGTTGGTAAAGCGGCTCTATTAGCTACTTCTCAGGGACCTGAGTTTGATCTCAGAGCATCACAAGAGCACAAACCCTTTTACCATTCATCATGAAAACAAACACCAAGATTCCTCCCGGCAGGTTTGAACTTTCTTCCTCCTTCAGATCAATAATAAATTCCTCAGAAATGAGTTTCTCTTCACAGCCCACACACGTCTCCCCTTCAGCCCACTTCAGCACTCTCTCCTGACCAGTGCTATTACTGCTTAAGATGTCTTTGCTCAAAGGATTTGGGCCCATTTAACTTCTGGTGCCCACCGACATTTTTACACAAATCCATTTAAAAAGTGACTCATGTTTGTGCTGCCAGCTGATCTATTTGTTCAGATAAGGATCAAAGTGCAGGAAAAAAAATCACTCCAGCCTGGTGATTTCATTTAGGCAAGGCCGGATTATAATATGGGCAACTGGGCACAGGCCCAGGGGCCCACAGCCACAAGGGGGCCCACGCGAGAAGCAGTCTTTTTATATATATATATATATATTTTGTGCAGCAGTCTTAACGTTGGAGAAACAAAGTTAGCAAGTAATTAAACTTGTGCCCGCATTTTCTAAGTCAACACACATTTCTTTTAACAACGGTAGTTTTTGCATCTTTACTGCCTGCTTCAAACCCCCCCCCCCCCCCCCCCCCCCCCCCCCCCGCACAGCAGCCACAAACTCACTGATGCGCCTGCAGCCTCTCGGAGTTCCTGCTGCTCTAAACATTAAAATAATGATTTCATTTTCTGTTCCTCACTTCTGATTACCTTCAGTGGTGTCTGTTTGTTGCAACCAGCAGGTACAAAAACTAACTTGTTTTTATTTGACTATTTTTCTGTCCTGCCTGTTTATTATCTTCCTGCATCTCCTCTCAATCCTAAAGAAAAACTGCTACCTGGGTTCATATATATTCACCTCATGAGTTACCTTTGAACTGCAGTTCTAAAAGATCTACCGACCGCTAAAACAGCGGAGCGCTCGCCGGCCGCTGGCCACACCAGCGCGGTGGTCACCAGAGGATGAAACAGGTGATGCGCTCGCTCCGCAGCAGCGAAACACATCCGACACAACTAAAAGGGAAGGGATCCTGATTGTAACAATATCAAGGCTTGTCTTTAAAAATGCGGGGCAAAGTGTTTCCACATAGCTTTAAA